AAAAAAAAAAATTGAGCAGGGTGTTATTTTGAAACTGAGGTTGAGTGGCTAACCAGTCCTGTTTGGAGGAGGAACAACTCTACCCTGTCTTCACTCTGTGGGTCAGTTTGATCGTTCCCCTAACCATGCTTGTGCTGGCAATCCCTGGCTGCTCTCCCAGACCTCACTGCTGCGCTTCAGGAGGAACCTGTACTCTAGGGCAGCTAAATACATGATGGAGGACGTTTGCAGGATATGAGCATCAGAGAGGCTCTGAGGGAGCCAAGCAGTGTGCAACCCAGCAGTTCTAGGGGACTGACAGCTCTGAGGTCTCTGCCCATGCTGGTGTGAATGGCTCTGAGCAGCACTGTGCTGGGAGCTTTGCTTTACTGCCTCACCTTCTCCATCTTCCCCTTTCTTCTGGCAGGCTTCAGTGCATTGGTAGAGAGAAGGAAAATGCCCTTCCGCAGTTGGTTTAATCTGACTGAAGATGACAGTGCCGCAAAAGGAGCCACATCTGGCCTACCCCCCCAGTTGCAGAGCTGAGAGGTAGCACCCTGCCACTTCCAAGTGCTCCCACCAGCATGTTGCAGCCACATGCACTCACGGATCTTACAGAAAATGAAGCCTGCGTTTCTGTAAGGGGAAGAGGGAGGGTTGTTTCAGGCTCGATTGGTGAGCTGCTTCAGTTCATCCCTGTCAGTGAGGTGGCTGGAACTGACCCAAGGGAGAGGGTGCAGACAGAGGGCTCTGGGAGGCTGAGACTGTTCCTTTGGCAGCAGTCTATAGTTGGACTGGGTAAAAGCTGTGAGGCTTTGTTCCTTTGTAGCTGCTTTTTATGCAACCCCTGCCCAAACTGCTTCATCCTCAACCCTCTGAGACCCTCCTGTCTGTCCCCTGCCAAGGTACTGACAGTTTAGTAGATGTGCTCAGTTTAGTGGCAGATACTGAGAAGGGGGGTAATAAAAAAGTAGTTTCACTCACTTTCATAACTGTTCTCAGCTGAGCATTCTTATGTGATGAGCTGAATTGTCAAAGTTGTGTTTCAGGGGTTTTTTAAATTAAATGTCCATCCTGAGGTGTCAACAGGACATTTATGGGTGTTGGAAAGTCGCCAGCTCAGGCGCTGTCCTAAATTCTGTTTACTTTGCAGAATTCTTCAGTCTGATGTCTAGGTGTTGAAAAAGACAGTTGAAGGCAAAAATTGGATTCTTGCATCCAAGTCAAAGCAGTCCTTGTGGAACAGGCAGGGAAATGTCACCATGTTGAACAGTCATGCTGATTTGGCTGTTGTTTTTCGAGACGATCTCTGTGTCCTGTGCCTCCGCTGGTGTGTTGTCAGAAATGGAAGGAGAGTCGATGGAGGGACACAGACAGCAGTCATGCACTCCTGGCAGCCCCTGCTGTGTTGCAGCCATTGCCCAACAAGGGTTGTTGGCTCATCTTGGTCAGGGTGGTGGGATCCAGTGCAAGAAGTGAATTGACTGTCTCACTGCCTTGAACTAAAGAGAGGATGGAAGAGGCACCATGAGACTAGGAAGGTGGGGGGAGTGCAGATTGTTTCCTCCCTGTGCAAAGTCAAGAGAGGGACAAGCAAGTTTGCAACCCCCTGTGCAGTGCCCTTTGCAAAGGTGCTTTTCCTCATCTCTGCATACAGAGTATCTTCCCCACCCCTTGCTGCCCCCTCACCCCTGTATCTCTCGCATCCGATATGCAGAGTACAGCAAGTTCTGTATTCTGTACAGCAAGTACCACCACATGCGGTAGTACTTGGTGAGAAACATCCAGTCCTGTTACAGTGAGCTGTCGCCTTTCTGGTCTTCCACAGGCACCTTTGCCTGACCCTTCTGCACCCTGAGGGGAGTGGCCCCTTTCTCAGTACCCTGTAGGAGGTTTACAAAGCAAAGCAGGTGTTGGTTGATGTCTCAATGTCTGAATTCTGTTAATAACTGTAGTCATTTGTACAGCAAAAGCCTCTTCTTGTCCTAGAAAGTAGGCTTGACTTTTAAGAGCTTGTAGATCTTTCCAGAAAGCCACCTGGTAGTACCAGCACATGTTTTTGGAACACCACCAAGAAATGCTGCTGATAACATCCTGTTGAAAAGGCTTTGACCTGGTAGGTAGGTGAAGGGAAGAAATAGATCCTTAGACCTGTCTGGGGCCTTTCTGCCCTTTATGTACACAGTCATTCATGCAAATTTATTTCTTTGCATTGAGAAATCCTGCTGGCGTTGCAGGATTGGCTTTTGGGCCCTACAGTGTTCTTGTGAGTTCAGAGTTTTATGTTCATGTTTCTTTTGTCTGTGCAGGTTGATGTGACAGAAGGGTATATATACAAGTGAGATAAAAATTAAGATGGATTAACAGTGGTAAGTCCCTAGAAGCTGCATTG